GATGGAGAAATAAAACAGTAGGGACAATTGAAAGGAACATTTTATTTTTTTAATTGGCAATTCTGAGTTTAGTATTCTGATCTTAGAAGTTTGTTTTATTAAAGGTATGTGCGTGTTGACATCAAGGTCAAATTTTTTTCAGAAGAAACTCAAAGAGAATGTCAGGTTTCCCTTTTCCTTTAGATGGTACATAAGAGGAGGAGGAACAAGAAAGTTCCTTTTTCTGAGCAAAATGTACATATGTGTAAATGTAGATAGATAGAGATATACACATTGTTGTTATGTGCCTTTGAGTCACCTGCGACTCATCCCAATCCTTTTACAGTAGCTCTGAGCCCTGCTCTATCCTGAGCCAATCTCACTGTCTCTTAAACACCTACCACCAACATCCCAGCCACTGAGTCAATCCATCTCATCCTGAGTCTTCCTCTCTTGTGCTGTCCCTTCACTCTTCCAAGTATGATGTCCTTCTCCAAGGACTGATCCCTCCTGGTAACATGCCAAAAATATGGGAGACGGAGTTTCAGAATCCTTGCCCCCAAGGAACAGCTTGGCTTCACCCTTTTCAGGACAGATCTGCTTGTTAACTTGGCAGTCTACAGTGTTTGCAGTACTCTCTCAAAGGCATCATCCTTTATAGTCCTTCTATCATCTTTAGTCATTATATATATATATATCTCACTCTCTGTATCTATCTATCTATCTATCTAATCTATCTATCTATCTATCTATCTATCTATCTATCTATCTATCTATCTATCTAAATTATGACGAAGCATTGCCAAAGTTGTAGACATTAGGTTGGATAATTGGATTTTATCACCAAAAGGAAAAAAAGACTGACACTTTTAGCTGCCAGTGATGTAATTTGAACTTCTAAACAAAAAAGAAATTATTGGACAACAGTATGCTACTATATGAGTTTGCTAGCTTCCCCATGATAAAAGATTTTTCTGATGTGATTGGTAGTGACCCTAAAATACGGTTGTATAATGAAAGGTGTTAATATTTGAAGGGTCATTGTAACTCAGGGAACCAGCGTTTTCACATGACCTGTGTAAGATAATACAGAATTACATAGTGTCTATGATCCAGCAAGGTGTTGTACAGACCTTTGGATTTTCACATTAATAGAGGATGACAGGTTTTTTCCTAGGGTTTCAAAGATTGCCACTAACCTTTTACAAGCCTTTACTTGTTGAATTCTGGTGTAGTATGATAGAAGTAGATCCAAAGTTATTTGAAAAGGCTACTACAATACACCTCCCTTTTCCCAGTTCTATCTGTGTGAGCCAGATTTTCTTCCTATATTTCAACAAAAACAACATACTGCAACAGATTGAATGCCGAAGCAGCTATGTGAATCCAGCTGTCTTGTATTAAGACTTTAAAGAGATTTGTAGAAGTGTAAAGATGTACTGCTCTTCTCATGATTTTTTTTTGTTTGATTTGAAAAAAAGTTATTTTTTTATAAAGATATTTTACATGGGGTGAATTTATTCCTGCTGTTTTTTGATGTAAAATTTTTGTGAGCATTCGATTTCTAATGCAGTCAATATTGATAGAATCTGGAGAAACCAGACTTTGTATCCTCAGGAGCACATATGAATCAAAAGAGATTCTGCTACGGAAAAGTTTCAAAATTGCTAAGTTTTGAGGAATGATTATAAATCTGAAATCCAGTAAAGGATGGTAAGATTTTGTAGGATTTTAAATCCGTGCTAAGAGACTTGTGCATTACCCTAAATAGTAAGCCATTTCAGAATATTTTTGAGCAGAAAATTGGTGTAGTTGAAGTGGTCCATACCTAAGTCAGCTTAGCAGGCAGGGCCCAGATGCAGTGGAATTAAAATTTGTGATTAGAAGTGGAATCACAGAGCATTAATACTGATGCCGAGGTGGAGATCCTAACAGCCTAGGTTAAGTTGGTGTCAATTTAACCCGGAGTTGTACACAACTATTTAACACATTTGGCTGATAACCAGATTAGAGGTTCAAGTCTACCCACAGAGAAGGAAGTTCTTACAGTCTTAGGAAGAAAGATTCATTGATGACCACGGGTCACACACTGGGATTTGCCATAACTTGAAATGTACTTGATGACAACTGGTTGATTGTTGTTGTTGGGTGCTATCGAGTCAGCTAAAAATCATCATAACTCTGTGAGCAGCTGTTTGGAACCTTGCCCTGTCCTGTGCCATCCTCATCATTGCAGATATGTCTGGGTCCATTCCATTGTTACAGTCACTGTGTCCGTCCATCTCGTTGGACTAAAGGAGAATGACTTGTGAAGGCAGCACTGACCTGCAAAGTGATGGAGAGGGAGGATGCTGTGGATGTCAGGTTTTGGTGGTGG